CTGCAGCTGCCTCTTCTCCCTCTCTGGTGATCAAGGAGGCCTTGGGGTAAGATAGCAGGGCCACAGGAGTAAAGCAGCCTGGAATTGCCTCCTGGAATTTAGTTGTCCTGGAAACACTGAATGGACTCTGTGAGAGATAAACCTTTCATTTGTTAAACCACTGGAATTTGGGTATTTAGGCATAGTGTTTCTTAACCAAATCCACGCTTCAACAAATAACTGCCTAAAATGGATGAATCAAGAAATAGCCACATAAGCATATTCTTTAGAATTGTGGAGATAATCGCTATAAGAATAGCTAAAAACATTCAAAGTGGTTGCCTCTGGGGAACGGGACAGAGGAGTAAGTGAGCAAGGATGGTAGAGGGGCAGCTGTTCTCATTGTCCTGCATGACTTTTTACACTATGTAATTGTGTTACATTGGCAGAAATAAAATTTTCTTTCCTTTTATTTTTGAGATAGGATTTCACCTGGTCGCCCAGGCTGGAGTGCAGTGGTGCAATCTCACTGCAGCCTCTGCCTCCCGGGTTCAAGTGATTCTTGTGCTTTGGCCTCCTGAGTAGCTAGGATTACGGTGCCCACCATCAAGCCTGGCTAATTTTTGAATTTTTTGTAGAGATAGGGTTTTTCCATGTTGTCCAGGCTAGTCTCCAACTCCTGAGCTCAAGCGATCTGCCTGCCTCAGCCCCTCAAAGTGCTGGGATTACAGGCATGAGCCACCACATCCGTCCAGAAATAAAATTTTCTAAAAAGCTATATACATATATATAATTTGGAAGGATCCCCAGCAAGTCGTGATAGTGGCTGTCCCTCAGGAGGGAGGGCGTGCTACACAGAACATGTGAGGGACTGCTGATGTGGCCAGACACGGGAGGGCACTGTGGGAAAGGAGGCTACCCAGATGGAAATCCAGTCCAGGGAGCTGTTTGTTTTTAGACATGGGGTGTTGCTCTCTTCCCCAGACTGGAGCGCAGTGGTATTTTCAGAGCTCACTGCAACCTCAAACTCCCAGGATCAAGTGATCCTCCTTCTTCAGCCTCCTGAGTAGCTGGGTCTACAGGCACACTCCATCATGCTCAGCTAATTTTTTTTTTTTTTTTTAAGAGACAGTGCCTTGCTGTGTTGCCCAGGCTGGTCTCAAACTCCTGGGCTCAAGCAGTCCTCGACCTCAGCCTCCCAAAGTGTTAGGATTACAGGCGTGAGCCACCATACCTGGCCAAATCTCCCTTTTAGAGTGAGCCGCCAACTTACATGGGTGATGAATTGTGGGGGAGGGAGGCTGCTGCAGTGTCCCCATGTGAGCTGGTGAGATTGGACTAAGACATCCACATCACAGATGTCTCTTGAGAGCCTGCTTTTTTTTTTTTTTTTGAGACAGAGTCTCACCCTGTCACCCAGGCTAGGGTGCAGTGGCATGATCTAGGCTCACTGCAACCTCCGTCTCCTGGGTTCAAGCAATTCTTCCGCCTCAGCCTCCTGAGTAGCTGGGATTACAGTCGCGTGCCACTACGCCTGGCTAATTTTTGTATTTTTAGTAGAGACAGGGTTTCACCGTGTTAGTCAGGCTGGTCTCGAACTCCTGACCTCGTGATCCACCCACCTCAGCCTCCCAAAGTGCTGGGATTACAGGCGTGAGCCACTGCGCCTGACTGAGAGCCTGCTTTTTTTGCCGGGCACTGCTGGTAGGCCCAAGGATATAGCAGGGAACAAAATGGATGAAGTCTTCTGACTTCAGGGAACTTGCATGGGCAAGAGACCCAAGTGGGCAGAAAAGAAGATGAATGTAAGTCAGGAAGTAGTTTGTGCTGTAATGAAAAATGAAGCCACTGAGGGAGCTAGAGTTGGTGGGGAGGATGGTCCTTTAGATAGCGTGGTCAGGGAGGGCCTCTCTGAGGAGGTGACATTTGAATAGAGTCCTGAATTAAGTGATGGAGCAAGCATGCAAAATATGGGGGGACCAGGGTTCCAGGCAACAGGCAAGAGCAAGTCCAGAGGCCCTGAAGTGGGGAGGTGGGAGTGGGCTTGACGTGTCCAGGGAACAGCAAAGAGGCCAGTGTGTGGCAGGGGCACATCGGTGGAGGAGAACATGCTGGGAACTGAGATCCCAAAGGTGGTCGGGGCAGCTTGCAGAACAGAGAGAATTTTGGGAAGTCGCTGGGGAACTGAGAGCAGGGGAGCGGCATGATTTGTCTTGGGGCTGGAGAAGGGAGTCTAAGATGGCCAGAAGGACGGGGTGTGGCTGTGGGTGGAGGGGAGAGAGGGGGGCCGTGAGGAGAGGAGCCTGGGGCCCTGCCTGGCAGGCAGTCAGCGCTGGGCCGCTCAGCCCGCTTGGACCAACTACAGCAGCTTCATCACCCACTTCCCAGCATCCCAGCCCCCTCTGGGAATGGAAGGATCCTTCGCAAATCAAAATAGCAGGCGAAGAACAGCCTCTAATTGTTCTGCGTAAGAGCAGAGAAATTAGACGAGTCAGCTGTGGGGTTGAGACCGCCTCCCACACAGCTGTGATCCCACACCCCACTGAAGACACTTCCTGAGACTTGCAATTCTGCTGTCTCTGAGCAAAACTTTTTCCTTCTCCAGCCCCAGAGCAAATAGCAGCTATTTGGGAGGGAGTAGGACAGATGCTGCCCTGGAGGACAATGAGTGAGTCAATTCCTTTCAACCAAAAATACCAGTCACTTCATACAGGAACAGCCTTAGCTGATGCGAGTTTATTCCACCATTCGAAAACACTGAGTGCCTCATCCTAGGTGTCCAGGGCTGGGCATGGGATCAGAGAGGTTCTAAAGGAATGGAGGCACACAGTATGGGACCACCCCTGGGGTGGAGGAAAGAAGGAGTGCGGGAGTCAGGAAGTCTCAGTTCTCGCCTCAGCTCTGCCACTGTTGCTGTGTGACCTTAGATGAGTCATGCTGCCTCTCTGGGCTTCAGTCTCCCCATCTCTCCCAAATGGAGGCTTTAGGCTACGTAGTAATTCTCAGACTTCAGAATTCATAAGAATCACTTGGGGTGAGGAGGTGCTTCTTAAAGATGAAGATTCCCAGGCCCCAGTTCCAGAAATGAAGATTGATTAGATCTGAGGTGCAGTTCAGGACCCTGCATTTCTTCCAGGCTCTTCCGGTAATTCTGAAGTGAGCCCTCGGGCCACGCTTTAGTAAAATCACTTCCCCTTAATGTGTCTCTCTTCCTGCTCTGGAATTCGAGGAGTCACGCGTGTAACCCTCCTCCGGGTATCTCAGATCACCCCAGAGGTATGAGAGTGGTGTCATGTTGCCCTGCCTCGGGGGGTGCCCGTGTGTTGCTGTGGTGGTGACACTGCATTTGGGAAGGTCTTGCTCAGTGTATGCAGTCTCCTCTGGGCTACCTGGTGCCCCGCCCAGGCCCTGGTGCAGAAGGGGCCATGGCTGTAAGCGTTGGCCAAACAGGGTCAACTGCAGTGTAGATAGCTGTGCAGGGCAGAGAGCATGGTGGGATAACGGGAGTGCTGGGTGCAGAGTTTGGCTGCAGACATCTGCCCTGGACCCCTGGGCTCATGCCCTGGGTTGGACGTGTGACCCTGTCACCTGCTTCGCTTCCCTACACCACTGTGGATGGGAAGAGGGATGCACTGTGGCTTCTGCAAAGAGGTGAGTCCAGTTACATGGAAATGAGGAGGCCTGGATGGAGCCGCAGGAAGGACTAGGGGCTCCGGTCTACCACAGAGGACACCCAGGGGGCCTCAGGCCCCAGCCAATCTACTAGGCAGTGTCCCTTCCTCAGAGTTGACCAATCATACTCCCCAAAGGCCAGGTCAGTGCCAGGAGCTAGAGAATCAAGTCACTCTGGTCTAGCCCCCAGCTCCATTCTTCACCTGTGAAGAAAAAGAACAGTGATTGTGTCCAGAGTGCTCTCCATGTATCAGGCTTGGGGCTAAGTGCTGTGTTAGCTTATTAAATTTTCACAGCCATCCTAAGAGATTGCTACAAACATCACCCCTCTTTTTACAGTTATGAATGTAGAGCGTTAGAGAGCTCAAGTTTCTCAGCGTCACTCAGCTAATATAATAAATAGTAGAGGCAGAATTAGAACCCAGATCTGCTTTCTGCTGGAGCCCAGTTTTATTTTTAAACATATTGCTTAGTACCTCTTAGAAGATAAGGATTTTTCTTTTTCTTTTATTTACTTATTTATTTTTGAGACAGTGTCATGCTCTGTCATCCACTCTGGAGTACAGCGGCACGATCTCAGTTCGCTGCACCCTCTGCCTCCTGGGCTCAAGCGACCCTCCCACCTCAGTCTCCCGAGTGATGGGACTATAGGCACGCACCATCATGCCTGGCTAAATTTTTTTTTTTTTTTTTTTAGTAGAGATGGGGTTTCACTGTGTTGCCCAGGGTGGTTTTGAACTCCTAGGCTCAAGCAATCCACCTGCCTTGGCCTCCCAAAGTGCTGGGATTACAGGCGTGAGCCACTGCGCCTGGCCTAGGATTTTTCTTAAAACAACTTCTGCCAAAGTTATTCACAACCAGAGAAATCCTTTTGCTTCTGTTGTAGTGGAAAGGAGCGCTGCCAGATCACATAGTGCAGGGTTCTAGTCCCACCTTTGCCCCGACCCTTTTTTTTTTTGAGACAGAGTTTCGCTGTGGTCACCCAGGCTGAAGTGCGATGGTGCAATCTCGGCTCACTGCAACTTCCGCCTCCCAGGTTCAAGCAATTCTCCTGCCTCAGCCTCCCGAGTAGCTGGAACTACAGGAGCACGCCACCACACCCAGCTAATTTTTGTATTTTTAGTAGAGACGGGATTTCATCATGTTAGCCAGGCTGGTCTTGAACTCTTGACCTCAGGTGATTCACCTGCTTTGACCTCCAAAAGTGCTGGGATTACAGGCGTGAGCCACCGCGTCCAGCCTCCCCTGACCTTTTGCATGACCTTGGGAAAGCTACTTCCCCTCCCTGAGTTTCATGTGAAACTGAAATCTGTGAAATGGGATTAATTACACATGCATTTCCTTCTAAGGTACACTAAGATGAAGACGGCCACCAACATCTACATCTTCAACCTGGCCTTGGCTGATGCGCTGGCCACCAGCACGCTGCCTTTCCAGAGTGCCAAGTACCTGATGAAGACGTGGCCCTTTGGTGAGCTGCTCTGCAAGGCTGTGCTCTCCATCGACTACTACAATATGTTCACTAGCATCTTCACACTCACCATGATGAGTGTCGACCGCTACATCGCTGTCTGCCACCCTGTCAAGGCCCTGGACTTCCGCACGCCTGCCAAGGCCAAGCTGATCAACATCTGTATCTGGGTCCTGGCCTCAGGCATTGGCGTGCCCATCATGGTCATGGCTGTGACCCGTCCCCGGGGTGAGTGAGTAAATGCACCGTGGCACAGGCCACTGACCACAGGAGGCAGTACATGGCCCTTTGTGGGCTTGCAGGGCACTTACCAGGGTGAGTGTAGGTGGCTCACCAGCAGAGGTTGGATTCTGATCAAGATCAATGATGGTGTGGTGTCTGGCCAGTGGGAGTGTAGAAGGTCAACCAATGGGAATGGGAAAAGCTGGCCAGTGGAAGACACAGATGGTTGAATACTGTGAAGATGAATGACTGATCAGTGGTCTTATGGGTTACTGGCCAAAGGGAATGTATGAATTTATGAAGGGGATTATGGATGGCTGGTTATGTACACGTAGGTGGCTGGCCAGGGATGTGTGGATGACTGATCTATAGAGAGATGGATGGATGTCCAATGAGGTAAGGGTGTCACTGACTAGTGAGCAGTGGAGGCCGCAAGTTCTGTGTTGCCATTTTAAACTCCCTTTCATCCTAATTTGAAAACCATTAGCCTGGATGACCAAAGCAAGGCCTAGAGAATGGCCTGCAGGGAATGACTAATAGGAGCTAAAATGGTAGTTATTATAGTACCTGCCTGCATTAGGGGAGCTGTAATAACATTCTCCAAAGCTCAAGGGCTTGACACAGTAGAGGTTTCTCTCTTGCTCCCATCACAATCCAGTGTGAGTAGGAGGAGCGCAGTCATTCAAGGACCCAGCCTCCTGTTGATGGCTTCAGAATCTTCTACTGCTGGCATATGGCCGGCAGATGAATATGGAGAGGGAGCGGGGAGAAAGCACAGCCACTTTAAATGTTGACTGGGTGCAGTGGCTCATGCCTGTAATCCCAGCATTTTGGGAGGCCAAGGCGGGTGAATCACTTGAGGTCAGGAGTTCCAGACCAGCCTGGCCAACACGGTGAAACC